TTAGATCCTCATCACGCTTTAATATACAGTAATATGTATATTCAAGCCTTTATTATTCTTATAAAAACTAGTACACCTGTATCACACTACCAATTTGTACTTTTCACCTATGTTTATTTATGTAATCGATTCGATTCGCATATTAGAAGCTGGTATTTGGTGTTCTGGACTCAACTAAACGGGCTAGGCAGACATAGGACCAAATAAGACGCTAGGCTGCTCATACCGGTCGAACGTCATTGGTTTTGCATAGTGCTAAGATTGTGTAATTCGTATTTTGATTGGTGGATAAATCACGTGATAAAAAGCTGGACATAACAAAACTAGTATATTTTCTGAACAATCTATGTTATTGACGAACTAATACATTTGAATGCTCTACATATATATCCTTAAGATAAGTCTAAGCCAATAAGCTGATTTTATTAAAATCTAAAATTATTAATTTTTTGGCGTACAATGAAAGAGCATTTGAGAATGAAATGATATTTCAATTCATGACAAATATATTAGAAAGGAAGGACAAACAATAGTGTTTCTCTTACTCAACACTCAAATATATTCAATCAGTCGTATGTATTATCTTTAACGATAGATGTTTTTGTAATGAATATCTTGTTTAGATTAATCTTAATAGAAGGTTTATCATCGTCTGGATATTCACGAAACATGCATTTAAATTAACTTGATTAGTTGTATTTCGAACTATGTTTTTTTTACTATTTGTGAACATTGTTGCTACAAACTAAACATAGCCTCTACTATGATGAGCAATAACTAATCATAAATCGTCCAAGATTGGATAAAAGTGCAATTAAGTCACCGCATCTTTTAGATAATTTATGTAGGTAGTTTCCAAGGGGATCGATAACTATAATAATAGTTTTCACTAAAAGTGGACATAATTCTCGAAGTTGAATTCACAAATTAATCTTAGGCAGACCACCATTGAAAACCAGGTTTTCAATGGTCTAGCTACAATGTCCACAAATCCTATTACTGATAAAGTTGATATAAGGTGAATGAAAATTGAAAATCAAGACGTTATTATTAAACTATTTTAAGGAATTTCATGATTGATATTTTAATATTCCATTTGGTTTATCACAAACTTTAACGTATTATTATTGATTAAAATTCATATTAATATTCGACATATTCTACAAATCACATCTTTCTTTTTAGGATCCTAGGAAATTCATTCAGTGAACCGAGTCAATAATTGATAAAATTGTCTTTAAGAAATGGATTAATCTGGAATTACTATGAATTATTAATGAACTTTAAACTATCATAATCGTATTAATGTTTCTTGAATTCCAAAGTTTCCCTCCAAACTCAGAATATTTACATACTGTAAGTAAACTAGAAGCATAATGAACATTGATACATTAGATTTTGAAATTTATACAGATTTTTTAAATTGTAATTGATTAATAATGCACGTGTAATATCGAAGCCCTTCGTATTAGGTTACTTTAGATATTAATAAGTTTGCGTCATTAATTACTTCTGCGTTCAAGATATCATAATATCACCTTAGTACCGGTGAACAGAACGTGAACCGGAAACGCAATAACAGGACGAACCTACGCCATTCTTTTACGCCCCAGCCCAGCCAATCAGAGGGAGAAGACTCAAGTCAGCAGGAAAAATAAATAATGCCACAAGCAACCTGGAAGAACAAATAATAAGTTATCAACTTATGTGTGATATATACAATACGAAAATGTTCTTGAAAAGCGTCACAAAATAGCGTACTAAAAGAGAACAAACCAATGATGTTTAAGATCCTTTCAAGTGGGAAACACACAGTGAAGGTAATAGTAGGCGCTTTTGGCGCAAAAATGAGAAATACGCATTTCTACAATTAAATTATAAAAATAATAAGTTTGATAAGTGACTTCTAGGGATCTAGCATTCTCAACAATTACTGGCAAAGAATTCTGTGATAAGAATTTCTCTCTCATTCACGATTCCAAACCAGTGATTTATTTTCACACCAAATCAGAATGGTCTTTGAAATGCAATCCAAAAGTTAGTGAGGAAATAATTAACAAGTGAACTCAGCCAAACTGACATTAAGGCAGTAATTTATAATTAATATTGAACGAGAATGAAATCATAATACAAATCGACTGAAATTAAGAATGTGAGATGTTGGATTCGAAATTATTGGATAAATGGTATCATATTCACCGGAAGATATGAAATGTCTTATAATCTAATCCGTATGTAATCGTGTGTATTCACTTTTGAGGACTTTCTAATTAAGCTGAAATACTTATCTAGTGCAACCTGGTTTCAATGCTTATACAACTGACATCAGTTCAGAATAGAAATTACTTTCAAATAACCCTAATTAAATGAACTTATTCCATTAGTAGTCTAGTTTTCTTATGTTGAATTATAATCCAATGAAAATTTTGGATATAATACGTAGTTTTAAAGAAATCAACACTATTATCAGAAGGGGATTTTGTGGAGATTTTAGTAATTTTATATTTGAATTCATGAGTCAGTTGAAGCTAGATCACCATGGAAAACCTGGAAGCACTGGACGGCCATTTCGTCCTAATATGGGACGCCTCAGTAGTGAGAACTTACGATCCCACCCAGGGAGATTCGAACCGAAGACCTGTCAATCTCGCGCGTGGATTAGTTGAAGTTAGACACCAACACCGTTAGATACCGACTCAATGGTCTAGAGATTAAGCGCGCATGGTCAATAGGTCTTGGGTTCGAATCTCGTGGGACGGAATCATGGATAAGCACTGTTGAGAAGTTCCCATACTAGGATGAAACGACTGTCTAATGCTTTCAGGATTTCCATGTTAGTCTAGTTTCAATTGACTCATGAATCCAACTTATAAAATAAACATTAGTTATTTTACATTATCACATTTAAATGAAAATATATTTACACTTATTATCATCAACCTATTGAAGAATATTTATCAGTAAATCTATCTATATTAACTTGAAATAATAGTTCTAATTCTAAATATTTTCAAGAATTTATATAACTGTTTACTTTACTTACAAAATGTCTGATCTCTGTAGCATTTTGTCTTTTAATTTATTATTCTCATTCAAATTTCAATGATGTTTATTTATTATTCATGTCTCTTTGTAATTTTCATATAGTTTAGATAAACAAATAAATTATTATCTAACCAGCTGGTCAAATTTATTATCTGTATAACACATTAAGCAGATTGAACAAGCTTATTAATAATAATACTCTATTCATAATTAATTTAACACACTTGTATGATTGTTGTTGTTATTGTTGAAAATACTGTATTGAAATTTTTTGTAATCAACTTAAGTTATTCACAACATTTTCAATGTTGATTACTACATGTTTAGTACTTGATATTATTCGTCACTTTTCTATTTATATTGTCAATTTGTGAGTTGGATATTACAATGTTAAAAGTATATCGTCATATTGCCAAGAACTATCTAGTTCCATAATTTATTAAGTAATTTATTTTAAAAACAACTTACATGATACATCGATATGTCTTGAAGAAAGTTTTAGTGTGGTCGAACTGTGATTATGATTCACGTGCATATACGTATTATTATCTACCACATAATTATATAATGGTTACATTTATGTATTCAATTAAATCTAAGCAGATGTTTCCGAATACACATTATCATTTATAGTACAGGAATCAGGGATGAAATGTTTATAAAGGACTTTTAGAATATGTTATGCACACAAATATAGGTGGAGAAACCTGTCCCTTAACATATTTACATAAAATTATGCATTTCATGTGAATGGGGTAAATATGTTTGTTTGTATTTATAAATATTGATTGCGTAATAATATCCTATAAACTAAACAGTTAATTGCCACCTGGAATGGTTTAAAGTTTATTATAAAATGTGATACAAAAAATATGTCCAAGAAGAGACCTCAATAGGTCACTTTAGTCACTACATTCCTTACTTTGTAAAACTGATCATTCCCACATGAAAGATATTTCAAATGCGTAGCTTAAGTCCTATTCAGCTTGTACTGATGCAACCGTTTGAATAAAACATAGTACCACACCAAGTTTTACTAGTGATCATGATTATAACCTACTAGTTAGCAGATGAATCTAGTATGTGATGTCAAATCTACGTTAATTCTTCCTGTTAACTTCGGAATTTTATTGTTTGACTCATACTAATATGAATCAACCAGCTTACATGATTTAAAAATGGATTATCTAGTTTTTCAACTTAGTGTGTTTACTCCACTTTCCTCTCACGTTTAGACGCTCCTGATAGTCCACAAATGAAATGCCAAGGTGGATGAAAGCTATTTACCAGACATCCCTAATCAATAGTACATGTCGTGACCATATTTAACAGTTAACGAAGCAACTTAAAGGTCTACAAATAAATCTTAGTTGAGTATAAGAACTTTACTAGAAAATTTAAAATCTATGGTGAAGTTGGAAATGTTTTAATCTTAAGAGTGTCAATTACTGTTAAAATTTACGGATCAAAACAAATATTAAACAGTATATTGTTTGATTACTCTTAATTGAACCTGGTTTAAAAGAAATTTTCCTGACTTCTAGTCAAAAGTTGTAACATTCAATCGAGTTGAGATGTGTGGACGTAACGCAGTAGTCAAACTTTGGTCTCTTACTTACGCCTGTTACTCGTCATGTTTCCCACAATATGCTCTCACTTCTCATAAAATTGACATCCTGAAAATTTCACAAGTACAATGATATCCTCCCTGGATTCATTTCCTAATATGAAATCATCTGGTAAAATGTTTTATTTACACATTATACAAAAAAAATAGGACAAGATAACAATACTCTGATCCAAAAAGAAACTGTTTAGGTTATTTTGTTAGCAAAAATATGTATTTTCAAAAAGAAGTATGACTGATCGATTATGTAGAAGTCTGTAATGCAAAAGTTAATAAAGGAATCTGTTAAATGTTTTTCTTTTTTGTTTTTTTTTGTTTAATTTCGAAAATAAATATTAGTCTATTTCAAATAACGAAAGATATGATAATCACCGGGTTTTGGGTTTCCCGAAAACACTGTTTCATTGTTAATTAAATTAACTGAAGAGAAAGAAAGCGAAATTAACACTTTAATTATTGTAGTGTTCATATTGAGAAATATGATTTATAGAAGAGGATGTTAAAGACAAAGAATCTGATCTTAATGATTGTGAATATTCTGTATTCATCGGATATGACATATGTGATGATGATGACAATGATGTTGGTGGTAAAGAATTAATGAAAGAATCCACACCCACTTCTGCTGATGTTATAAAATGTGTTGAGGAATGAATAAAATCGTTATTTATTTCATTACTAGTATGGTTATTGGAAGGTGGAGTCGTTGTTTTATCTAGACCATGTAAATGAGTACGTTGATGTGTTTTACAATGATCAGATCTACTAAATGATTTTGAGCATAAATTGCACTTGAATGGTCGTAAATTTAAATGTTTTCTTAAATGTCTCGTTAATTCATCTGAACGTGCGAATGTTTTCCCACATATTGGTATAGTCAATGAATTGATCGGAATTTTACCAGTTATATTACGTGGATAAGGAAATACACAAACTAATGGACGTTCACCTAGAAAAATAAAATAAACATGCATCGTATTTAAATCAGTAAGTTCTTTTGGTCAATTTAGATGGAGTTTATTTAAGCTATTTAGTTTTGATGAATACCATTTTATTTGCGTTAATGTATTTGTAAAGCTTCTTCAATTCAAAGTCTGTTTCACTTACTAACTTACTTTAGCTGGGGAATTACTTAAAACTAAGCAACATTGGACAGTTATTTTATCCCACTTTAGGACCTGGTAAATGTGTACATTAACAGACCTTAATAGTCCTTGGGTTTAGAACCATCAAGGAACAATTTTTCATTTCTGTTTGTTTTTAAAAATGATAATTCAGCTAAAGTCAATTTATAAGTACCAGCTTCAGATATTACCTAAGTTTGCATGAAAAGCACGTAATATTAATCAGTTCACCTTTTTCTAATTAACGACTACACTTGAATTCTTAATACTTGCAGTATAGAAACAGCATATTTTAAGCAAATAAAGCACTTAATAGATAAATCGAAGGATTTACTAGAAATTTGTTATTTGAGAATCAAAGCATAAGCAACATTTTCATCACAAACGGAGTTTCAACATCTCAAAATTAATCATTAATCCCCAAACTGTTATGATAGTGTATATATGAACATGTAGAAAATGGTTCTTTCTGCAGCTTACATTGGTAACGTTCGGAACAATTTTTCTAGACCAGTTAAAATTGTGCTAAGAAATAAGATTTATGCCATAATTTAGTTAGTTGATAATACAATGATTACTTATAAGTAGTCTTATTGGGTTGATGGCACTACACAAATTGACATAAGTAAATGGGAATTTTTGTAGCCCTTAAATTGACTTTTTATGACATTAAAAAGGGGAATGACTTTCGTGACATTAACGTTATTCTTATGATTACTCGACTTCTACTTTCCTTCCAGCATGGAATTCACTCAGCTTTTCCCATTTCGGTTTGTCAATACCGAAGTGCAGAGAAAGTTGACATACAGTAAAAAAATAACTGACTATCAAACTTGGGGTCGTCTCTTGTTCATCTAAAACTAGGTTCAAAATTATATCGTTTTGATTACCAGTTGAACCTAATAAACACGACATATATTCACACTTTCCCCTCACATGCGATATAAATTCACCTAGTTTCACAGACATGTTTGTAACTTACTGGCTATTAAAATACGTTTTATAGCCGACAAGCTAGTTAACTAGTAAAGTAACGTAGCTATTGGATACGTGTACCTAAAGTCTACTTGTTTGGTCACAGAAAACAAAGTGGTGCATAGAACAGTATAATAAAGTAATGTATGAATATGCATCAGAAGCTTCAATGACTAGCATCTAAACGATTTCTATTCGGTAGCAGGTTATTTTTCCTTAATGATTGAAATAAAAGTACACCAAAAAATGTACCACTTACCAGTATGAATTCGATAATGAGCTTTTAGATGGCTTGACTTTAAATATCTTTTCTCACAACCTGCAATGATAAACGTTGAAAAAACAAACGTTAATTAAGTGTCGCATATGAAAAACGTACGTACATTAAATCCTGTAATTAGTCATTTGAAATAAAGAAATACACAAATGCACTATTACTGATAATGTGAAAATCAAAGTTATTACTTTCATAAACTATGGTAGACCAGATCAATTATCTAACGGAGTTGAGATTTTGTAAACTTTACTGAGGAAAATCCACTGTCAGGTTTAGTCATAATTATAGTTTTACAATACACATACCTCACTTTAAGTCCTCGATTCATGTTTCATAATTACTGATAATGGTAACCAAGTTACTTGAGTAAACCGTAGAGATAAGTATCTAGTACTTAAGTGAAGACCTATACACGAACTCAAACTAGTTTCTTAGCGTTGTATTGAGTAATGCCACCCATGGAGATCCTGGTAAGGAATATACCTTCGGATGCTATGAAACTCTATTTCTAGCAGCTTTACACGAATATTGGTGTGTAAAGAGATAATACAAATTATTCTATTAAGTATGACTACCTGATTACTACTTATAAGGCTAAGTATTACACCAATTCTACGTTTTGGAAGCGAAGCACTGCACTTTAATGAAATGTCAAAATGTAACAATAATCCTAGCAACCAGAAATAGTATTTAAGCTACAAAAATTCCCAGGTGTGGATGATAATTATTATAGTTTTTTATATGGTTCCAAATTTGTTCTATAAATAGAAGATACAATCTAGGAATGACTTTTACGACTAACAGTTAACTACTTCGCCCCATCCCAAGACTCTTCAGTTGTCCACAACTATTTATCAACACGGGGTAGATATATTAGATTATTTCCTTTTAAGATTGAATATGTAACTTTGGGGATCGTTATACTCGTATCTCGGCGATTGATATAGTTATGAACAAAAACAAAATTCAAGTCATCTTATGGGTCGATCTGATACAGTCTAAAAAGATACAACTAGAACCAGCTGCGCGACTAGCATAGACTAAATGACCAACCACATTTTCGAAAGATTGTGTCCAGTGTCATACATTTCCAGGTATTTTGTACGGGTAACTACGAGGTAATTTCAAGTAGTTTGGTCGAGTAACATTATGGAAACATCGCATTCAATCTAACAACCATACAGTTACATAACCGTTACTAGAAGCTACGCATTTTAAGTATAACCTATCAGCTAGATATTCATCAACTATGGATGGTGATTTACGTAAGCTGGAACTGTTTCCACTAGTTGATTATCCCTTTGTATTCGATTGCGCGCTTATTACGAATTACAAATATAATACGTTCATTTGTGCTTATCTAGTTCTACATACCTTAAATTGTACTATTTCGGCAATGCTTAGTAAGTAAATTAATTCGGATACTTCTAATTACCATAATTTCCTACAGGCTAGGTAAATTATTGGAGAATGACAATTAAGAATGAATACAAAATTCATAAAATCCACTTGACTGTTTTAGTTAGGTTTATGTCCTTCCAAATTACACCATACTAAACAGTACAATAATAACTGCAAGCCATGTTCACAACAAATGATTGCTTAGCACTTAAGTTTAAACCAAACATCTTAGTTGTTTTCATTTATTAAGTTAAGATTTACTTTCTTGAAGATACCTCATGACAATGACAAAGTGGTTTGGCTGAACTACTGATACTACTAAATAATGATATGTGCTACTAATCAAGAACCACAACGAATAATGAAAGGAAAGCTTACCAGGAAATGTGCACGCATATTTTTTCTTTATCTGTTCATCTTTGATCGAAAAGCAACTGTTTTCAGTATCACTATCCGGAGATTCAACTTTACTGGGGAAAACTCGGCTTTGGTTTCGGATAGGTGAATACGATGAATAACAATCATAAGTTTGATGACAACTGAACGGATGATGAGTATTATTCGAATGTGCAGGTGAATAATTATGATCATATGAATAATTATGAGGTGGGATGAATGAATAGTTTATCATGTCACTCTGAGAATAGTAAGTATACCCAGGTAATTGACAAGTAGGATAATCGTTCTTGATTGCGCAGTTCGAGAAATTATCCGAATATGATGAATTAGTGTATGGGGAAGGGATACTGTGTTCATAATTTTGAACGGCATTCTCAACTCGCATGCTTGATTCTATATTATTGATTTCTTTCATTGGCGTTCGTCCCATTTCTTCTGGGAAACTGGGCTCAATCTTTACACAATTATATGAATTCGCTATCATCTGATTCGAACAGCCCCCTAAATTATTGGAATACGAAAACATAGGACTTGTTACGTGTGATAAACTACACTCCATTCCTCACACTAAACTTGCAAGTTTAAGTGGTGATAATATAAATCCTGTTTATAAAGGGAAATTCAACACGATAGTGGATTAGCGCTTGACATAAAATCAACCAATCACAATTTGAACCATTGGGATGACTTATTACAAAAAATAATTTTGAGCGAATGAAATAACTGGTATTTTGTCACTCCTTACATGAATGGGTTGATTGAATAAAATTCCCATTGGATGTAAATATAACCTTTGATGTTTCGGCAAAACTGACAATCCGATAGGATATTTATCCGAACCACATAGTTACTTTCTCAATACAAATGAAAAAACGGCCTCTGACAATTAACATCTGAGTGTTAGTTGATTGTTTAGCATTGATGTACGAAGTTGCAAAGAGTTTTATACACTATCCCAGAGGAAAGTCTTATTATCCAGCCAATAAGTAATTATTGAATGAAACCTGCATTATGACAGGCAATAAAACTCGAAAGTAGTTTAATTTAAAAAAGGTTTTAGTATGTTTAAGTGATCAAACAGTATAAACTTTATTTGAACATAGCCCACACAGAAACTTTATGTGATTGGAATGATTTTTAACGTTGTAGTTGAGGTTAACTTATTTAAAAATCATGTTTACTAAAAACTCAATATGTCTTCAGTCTCAAACTTGTCAGATTCACAATATGTATTACATTCCGGTGTTGCATACAATGTTGGGGATCACAGTCAAACTTTATTAGAAACTTTCCTGAACTCGATGAACGTCTTGCTATTGCAATTCCCTAACGAAGCACACCGCAATATGGATTTTGTCTCAGTACAATTAATTGGTTAGAGGAAATCTGGAACATAACTTTTTTTGATTATTTTTTTATCAAAAATTACGTTTCAATCTACATGTTTGGCTATTTAATAAGTTGAATATTGGATGTATGACAATCCAACTTGGCTGTTGGCTTTACCAGAGTATGAGTAACATGTTTCCAACTGATAGTCACTAATCCAATTTATAGTACCTTCCCACAAACAGAACGATTAGTTATAATGAGTTGAACTAGCAAATATCACCATTCTTGGTCCTATATATTTCTGGTGTTAGAAGGAGGGTTCAGAAAGTAGAGAGCTTACATAATAAGGCCAACTCACAAAAATGTCTTGACTTACTCCAAACAGTCATGAGTTATACTGTCACACTCTAAGGTATGAAAGAGCGTTTATGCCAATCAAGACTTCATTCATGCTTCTCAAAAAGAATAAATCATCTAAAGTTTGGGTAGCTAAGATGTGTCAATCATCCTCATACCTTCAGTAGCACTTGAATTTATCTTGTTCAGCGTAGAACCTCTTGATTCTTAATATTTCTTCACTGCCTATTATTAGTTCTGCTTTTCTCGTCTCATCTTTCTATATAAATTCAACTAGTGATGATGTATGAAGCTAAAATAAAATTAAACACATAGATATTACTTAGAGTATTTGGAACACTGAGACTTGATCGACAGACCAGAATCAAAAGTACAGACCAAACAGTTTAATATTGATGACAATTGTATTTAAGCATCTCAGGTCTGCAGGAGATTAATTTCGACACGAATACATTAGTGATGACCGCTTTGGTAATAATACTACATACCATGTGTTAGGAACTCACGAATAGTTTCACTTAACTCAGGAATCTAGATAAGCTTTAACATTGATGGCCAAATATCATAATGTCGAAGTTCGAGATGAACAGACATCTTTTACCATATCATCTGGAATCTTATAATCAAATTAAGACCCATTATATGACGTATTTCCAGTTGGATATCTAGGTGATGACATACTAAACTTTGCAGGTTCTGTGTTTAGTTTCAAATGAGGTCATAGTTATTTCATGTTGAGATTTCACAAACTAAGGCAAACCAGTTGTTACGCAATCTTCGACTATCAAAATATACTCAGTCAATAACAGTCCGAAATTCGAATGATGATATTTATCATTTATCTACTGAACATCTTCATGTTTGACTAAACAAACATTCTTTAACTTTTCAGATTTATCACAATAAAAGCACTTGACTTAGTGCATTCGAATAACTCAAATTTATACATCTACATTCTTGTAAGGATTTTTATTTCCCTATTGCTGATATTGAGAAATTCAACTAGACAGTCTCTTTTGCCTTACATGCATCCCAAGAGTATTCACTTGATTTCGCCATTTCGCCATAAGTTTTTCGTAAAGTGGATATCATAAACTAATAATTGTCTGGATTCAATAGTTCGGTGGATAACGTGCATAGAGTTTGAAGTGAAAAATTCTGAATTCAAGCCTCAATGTAAAAGTCAACACTAAGTTTTAGCTGATGAGGTCCATATAAAAGGAAAAATCTCTGGATTCTACTATTAATCACTATCCAATATCACAATAACTACAAAATTTTTATACCATTTTGATTAAGATACTTAAAGGATCATGAAATCACCACTTACTAACTGAATCTTATTAAGATAATATCAAGATTCGAGATTTGAAAACATGCTTTTATGTAACAGTCTAAGTGTGCATTGTTGAGAATTTCTAAACAAAGTTTATTCAACGATTCATCTATCCTTGATTTCCAGTAGTTTCTCATCTAAATATTCATCTAAGCAAATGGATACATTGATTTTCATCAGAGTTAAACTTTCACTTAAAAAATATTATTCTGATTGTTATCTCAAGGGATTAATTTTGAATTACTTAATTAACTTCATTAACTGATATCTAAAAGTACATAAATGAAAATGTTCTTAGAAATGTGATACATAGTAAATATTAAGTACCCTTATTTAGTAAAATCATTTATCTATAAAATGTTCATATTAGATCATTATCATTTCTAGGCAAATATTTGATTCACACGACATGTGACATGATAATTTTTTTTAAAATATAATATTTACGTAATTTGACCTATATTTAGGGAGTTATCATTCTTTATTGTATTTTAAATATGATAATGATTAATAAAGAAGGTTATTGAATTCATTCAAGCATTATAACTTATTTGATTTTATTGTGTTAACATGTATCGAGTATTATAATGAATTAGAATTTAAATACTGTATTAATCTTTATGCTTTTCTCATTTTTATCAGAAGGGGTTTTGTGGAGATTTTAGTAATTTCAATAGTTGAAATCATGAGTCAATTGAAGCTAGACCACTATAGAAAGTCTGGAAGCGCTGGACGGTTGTTTCGTCTTGTTGTGGGACTGCACACCCACGACGTCCCCCCCTCGAGATTCGGATCCAGGACCTACTGGTCTTGCACACGAGCACTTAACCACTAGACCACTGAACCGACATCCAGCGGTGTTAATGTCTAACTTCAACTAATCCACGAAAATGAGCGACACATCTACCATTGTCACGTGTGAGTTACTATCTCACTATCTCGTTTGTTAATTGTCAATATAAGTCATAATGTTTAAGTGTCAGTTACGGTAATTTTATTAAATTTCAAGATTGTTTTCACTGTGAAAATATATCATTTGGAAAATTTCACATTTCGTCCCAGTTCAATACTCTTCGACAATATTTACTGTGAGAAGTTCACAACCTTCCAATTCAAAATTATTGATTTAGTAGTAACTTATTTCGAGATTTGATGGTTTTGATTTTGATCTGTTGCTTGCCTCTGAGTGTGTATGCTAGAAAATTCTTCAATTAAAACAAATTCAAATTTTTTAAGTAACTAGAAGTTTACTTAAACCTATCTGATATAAACAAATCAGTACAAATCTAGGTCTAGACCTTTTACTTTTTATAACATATTATTACTGCTTATCTAATCAAAGAAACTATCTTCTGTTGTATTCTTTTAAATCGTTTATCGATGAAAAATAAAGTTAGTGTAAAAAAATCTACTAAACAAATATTTGGATGGTAAGCAAAGATGGATAGTAGCTAGCAGTGGAATCCAGGACGCGCTTTTCGTCCTATTTGGGACTCGTCAGCTGGATGTACCTGCATCTCAGAGTTGATGTTCACTCTGGGACTCGAGCCCAGCACCGTTCGTTTCAAACGCCATCGTGTTATCTACACAGCTACTGAGTCCTTGTAGCCACATATGCCATTAAGAGACTGATCAATTGGGAAGACTCAAGTCAATAATACCAAGTGAATGTAAATATTTGGATGCTCTGAAAATAACATGTTATGTATCGTTCTACAAACTGTATGACTATTTTTTCACTTAATCAAGCTAATAATGAATATCAATTATATATTAGTGTTAGCAATCATATTTCCTTAATTGATCCGCTACATCACTTCAAGGCATACTGAAATTGTTGAGGTTTTCCTTTCATTCGACTTATGGTCATCATTTAGGTATTCGTGATATTTTGTTCTAACTTCACTCTATGTTGAAAATTTAGGTTTTACAATCTTCTTAATTGAATTATCTGTAGACCTTTTTAAAGATACGAAAGTGAACAGTTAGGATATATAAAACAAACATTGAATGATATGTGTACGTGTTTCATCATCCCTACAGTAAATCTTTTGTCGAAAACTATTGTTCTTTGGATAGAAATTCAAGTTTTTACAAACTTTACAAATAATCTACATCAGTATTCTTTTTGAGATAGACAGTGAAAGTTTTCAGTTTATTTCATATAAGACTCGAGGCATATAAGCTTAGAATGCAAGTAGATCGTATAGAAATTAATCTAGCTTCTCGGTAATCATCCACGGAAGAAGCTAAATAGGATTTTGCCTAATTATGCTAAACATTTGAAAGTTTAAATTAAACACATTAACATTAAGCATATAGGGATTAAATAAAATAAACCAATCCTATACTTAGCATCTTAAGCTATACTCTAATTAAGTTTATTGTAATCAATATACACATGAGTAAATGTTAATAAGCAAAAACTACCATGTAGATTTATTTTGGCAAACTTGTTAATTTTTTAATTGATTCATTTTATAACCTATCAGTAAGTTAATACACTTAAGTAACTACCCTTTCATAAATACATGATGACTCATAGTTATTTGGTTCATCTTAGTAAGGCTTCAGAATTGTTTATTAGGTACAAATTTGGTGAAAACGTTGACAACATGACAAACTTCGTCTGACATGACTTTATACTATTTTAGTATTTTAGTTATTAGATTGAGCTATGGATTCGGCGACCCAATTACAAGCCAGCATAGATTATAGTGGTATGGTTGTCATGGTACAATTAACAAGGTTTGAAAACATGTTTCGGTGTTTAGTTAGATAGTATATTCCAGTTCTAGTTAAAAAAATCTTAGCATGAGTGTGCCAAATGATATCTGATATTATTTTTATTTGATTTTAATAACTTACCGACATGTCGGTTATTTGAAGTCTTGATTTTGTATTCACCTCGTATTTCCCCAAAAGGCCTTTATTTAGATGTTTATATGATTGATAGGCGGATTTTCAGCTCGGTTTTACAGATGAGTTAACGTTGATATTTAACAGAAATAATCTTTCCAGCTTAGCTTCAGGCATTTTAATATCTTCTCAATTAAAATACTTTGTTTTAAATGTACAAATGACAATGTTGCAAATAATATCCAATACTTCAGTGTTGTATCGCCTTGCTCAGAAAGGTACGTCTTACTAATCAACGAAACTCATATTTCATTACGGACCTGAGAACCATACTATACAACATTATTGTCAAAAAAGTTACTTATAAGCATTTTAAGCCACAAATAAATCAATTATCAAACAGAGTCAAGCTCAGCATTACGTCATATTATATTAAAATTTGTTCAGAGTTTCCGGAGATTATTAAATTCAATAGTTTACATCATAACATTTGTTGGACAACCAATGAAAACCAGAAAGCAGTAAATAGCTATTTCATTTAGTGTGGGACTCCGCAGTGATGTTCATTTACAACCCTACTGAGGACCGCATCCAGGATGAACTCTGTGTCCTCAAAGTTAATCTCTAGCCGCGAAACCTGAGTGCTTTGGGTCTGTTCCTCGGTAGGATCGTGGATGCTTTTTGGAGTCTCATGATAGGATGAGCGTTTTTTCAGCGAGGTTGTTTTCTACGGGATGGGATTGCTGACCCCATACCAAAACCTCCTTCTTTACATGAAATTAGGGTCGGTGGTAACCCTAGAAGAACTACAGGCAGATACCATCAGCATCAGCCTACTGTGGGAGAGAACAAACCAGCTTCGAGATGAAGAGGGAAGTCGGAAAGGATGTTGGAGGTGTATAGGACATACATTGAATAAAACATCAAACTGCAAAACGATGCAAGCCCTAACTTGGAATCTCGAATGGAAACGGAAAGGAGGAAGGTCAAAGAGCACACTGCCCTGGGAACTTGAAGTATACATCGAAAGGATGAAGTGCAACTGGAAAGGAATGCCTAGGATTACCCCTTCACGAGGGGTAGCAGACGTAAGTAAT